AGTAAGTGATTTTTCTTAAACAGATAACAGCTTGTATAAAATAATGCCAATAATGTATTTGCTTATGCACATTTACCTATATATCTTCTGTTTACGTATGCTTGTGTATTCTTATATATAAGTGAAATGAATGACAGCAATGACACAAGGGACAGGAGGGAGAAATTGGGATTATTTTGATATTATAAGGTACTCACATTACCTGTGAAGTGGTATACCGGCATCTGAAAGTGCACTTGTACTGGCTGCAAATGCACATGGCAAACTCTAAAGTAACCATTTAAAAAAGAGAAAACAGAAACATATAAAATGCTCATTTAAAACCACGAAAGACAGGAAAACAAGACAAAACAGCGAGACAAAAACAGAAACAAAGGACAAGGGCAACAAACAGGAAAGAGTAATGAATATGGTAGATATTAAGCCAACCAAATCAATATCACTTTGAATATCAACGGCCTAAATGTACCAATTAAAACACAGAGATTGTCAGAGTGGCTCAAAACATAAGACCTGGGTATACACTCTTCATAAGAAACTCACTTTAAATATAAAGATACATATAGATTAAAAGTGAATGGATGGAGGAAAATATACTGTGCTAACATTAATCAAATGAAAGCAGGAGTAGCTATATTAATTTCAGTCAGAATAGGCTTCAAAGCAAGGGAAGTTATCAGCTATTTAAAAAAAAAGGAAGGGGCATTGCATAATGATTAAGGAGTTAGTTCTCTAAGAAAACATAACAATCCTTGATACGTATGCACCTAACAACAAAGCATCAAACTACGTGAAGCAAAAATGGATAGCACTGCAAAGACAGGTGTGTCCACTATCAGTGCTGAGTATTAGAAACATATTAGTAAGTACATCATTGAACTCAACCACACTACTGATCAACTTGATATAATTGACATCTATAAGCTACGCCATCCAACGATAGCAGAATATACAGAATATACATCCTTCCCAAGCTCACATGAAACACTCACCAAGATGGAATACATTCTGAGCCATAAAACACACCTTAACAACTTTAAAAGGATGGAAATCATACAGTGTCTGCTCTCAGACCACAATGAAATTAAACGAGGAATCAGCAACAGAGAGAACTGGAAAATCCCAAACTATGTGGAGTCAAAAAACACACTTCTAAATAACACATGAGGCAAAGAAGAAATCTCAAGAGAAACGTTTTTAATATTTTGAACTAAATGAAAATGAAAACACAACTTATCAAAATGTGTGGGATAAAGTGAAAACAGTGGTTATGTTACGGAAATGACAGGCCAGCAAGAAACCAGCACCACTCGGAGGGTCGGAGCACTCAGATTTATTACGCTGGCGGGCTCAGAGGGGCTTCTGCTCCGAAGCTCTGAGCACCTCCAAGACGTGTGCACGAAGTTTTATAGGGTTAATTACAAGCTTGGGTTATCCGGCCAACAGGCATGGAACAGCTTTAGCAGCATCATTATCACAAAAGTAAAGGCAGGGAGGCAGCAAACCAACATTTCAAGGCCAGATG